GTTTGATTTTCTGTCCTTTTTTATCTCTTGCTCTTACTTTCTGTTTATCTGTGAGTCTGTCTCTGTCTGTCCTTCTCTCTGTCGATGTCTGAATGTCTCTCTCTCTCTCTCTCTCTTTTTCTCTCCCTCTCCCTCTCTCTCTCTCTCTGTCCTTCTCTCTGTCGATGTCTGAATGTCTCTCTCTCTCTCTCTCTTTTTCTCTCCCTCTCCCTCTCACTCTCTCTCTCTCTCTCTTTTCTCTCCCTCTCACTCTCTCTCTCTCTCTCTTTTCTCTCCCTCTCCCTCCCTCCCCCACATACCTCCCTTCCTTCCCTTTCTCTCTCCCCCTCCCCTTCCCCCCCCTCTCCATATTTCTCACGAAATCTGCTTTCTGAACTTCAGAATCCTGACTAGTCTCCTCTTGTCAAATTTAATGACACTTATAATACACCTCCATACTTATAATAATGAAGAAAATGAGAAGTAAATGTAAAGTAGTGAAGCAAATGCGATTTCTTTCCCGCCCAAACTGCAGACGTCATTGTTGATCAGTTAGCACAAAGGCGAAACGTAATGCGCACGCCATCTGTAACTGAAGAAGAATGGGTCTTTATGGAGTTATTCTTTAAATCCCATTTATTTATTCATTTTCGAGACAGAAAGTAAAAATTGCAAATTTATTGTAGAACCGCGGAAGTTTATTCCAGGATATTATTATTTTTATTAATATGGTCATCGTACCTCATCATCTTCAACCTCGTCATCATCATCATCAACAACATCATCATCATTTGCATAAGTCGATTATTATTAAATATAGAATTAAGAAAGAAAATCAGGAAATTTACGAACGGAAGATTTAAAAAAAAGAAACATATGGTAGGTTTTGATTACTTGCATATATCCCATCGGGAGATAGATAGATAGATATATAGATAAATAGATAAATAGATAGAGTGACAGAGAGACAGATAGGTAGATATAGAGACAGATAGGTAGATTGGTAGATAAAGAGAGAGAGGAGAGAGAGAAGAAAGAGAAGAGAGAGAGAGAGAGAGAGAGAAAGAGAGAGAGAGAGAGAGAGAGAGAGAGAGAGAGAGAGAGAGAGAGAGAGAGAGAGAGAGAGAGAGAGAGAGAGAGAGAGAGAGAGAAAGAGAGAGAGAGAGAGAGAATAACAAGCCAGGCACAATCGCTAAACCCGGCAATGCCCACCACGACCTCTAACGGTGGTTGGTCGATCGCCATTTTGGATTAGGAGGGGAGGGGGGAGGGTGGGGGAAGAGAGGGATGGAGAGGATTGGGAGTAAAGAGGAGGGAAGGAGGAAGGTGGATGGAGAAGGAGAGGGAGAGGGAGAGGGAGAAGGAGAGGGAGAGGAAGAGGAAGAGGAGGAGGGAGAGGGAGAGGGAGATGGAGAGGGAGAGGGAGAGGGAGAGTGAGATGATGGGGGGTAAAGAGGAGGGAAGGAGGAAGGTGGATGGAGAAGGAGAGGGAGAGGGAAAGGGAGAAGGAGAGGGAAAGAGAAAGGGAGAGGGAGAGGGAGAGGAAGAGGGAGAATGAGAGGAGTGGGGGTAAAGAGAGGGAGAAGGAGGAAGGTGAGTGAAGATAGGGAGAGGAGAGAAAGAGAGAATTGAAGGGAATGAGAAGAGGAAGGCGGGTGGAGAGGGGGAGAAGGAAAGGGAGACAGAGAGGATTGGGGTAAAAAGAGGGGAAAGAAGGAAGATGGATAAAGAAGGGGAAAGGGAGAAGGAAAGGGAAAGGGAGATGACAAGGATGAGGGAGAGCGAGGAAGCATAAGAGGGGGATAAACAGAGTGGGAGAGGGAGAGACGAGGGAGGAAAGAGGGAGAAAGAGAAAAAAAAAATAGAGCAGGGACGAAGAAGAGGGAAGGAGAAAGGGATTGGAAAATACGAAAGGGGAAGGACGGAGAGTAAAGGGAGGAGGAAGAAGGAAAGGGGAATAGAATGGAGAAGGAGACCGGAAGTCGGAAGGAAGTAGATGGAGAAGGGAAAATAGAGGGAGAAGGAGGAGAAGCGGGAAAGAAGTAGGAATTAAAGGGGGGGGGGGGGTTGGAGGGTAAAGAGAAAAAGAAGGGAATAAGGAAGTGGGCGGAGAGAATGAGAGAGGCTGATGATAGAGACAGAATGGGAGAGAGATGTGGGTGGAGAGAGAAGGGGGGAATGAAAGGAAGAGAAAGAGGTAGGTGGAGAGGAAGATGGGGAAAAACAAAAGGTGCAGGGCGTGGGAGAGAGAGAGAGAAAGAGAGAGAGAGAGAGAGAGAGAGAGAGAGAGAGAGAGAGAGAGAGAGAGAGAGAGAGAGAGAGAGAGAGAGAGAGAGAGAGAGAGAGAAGAAGAAGAGAGAGTAAGAAACAGAAGGAGAAAGAGTAAGAGAAAAAAAGAGACAGGGTAAAGAAATTGAGACTGGGAAAGAAATAAAAACCAGAAACAAATGCGAAAAATAGCGAACGAGAAAATAATAACCCCAAACACCCGGACATCACGCGACAGAAGGCGACAGAAGAGGGGAAATGAAGAGGGGAAAACCTCAAGCAAAGATGGCGTGTCAAAGCAGCAAGCAAAGCCACAAGCAACTCAGGGGTCACATTTTCTCACCTCCAGCTCGTCCTACTTCTCTCTCCTTCCGTGAGGGGGTTGGGGGGTGGGGTGGGGTGGGGTGGGGTTGAAGGAGGGGGGGTTGAAGGAGGGGGGTTGAGGGAGTCGTTCAGCAGACTGAGAGAGAGAGAGAGAGAGGGAGAGAGAGAGAGAGAGAGAGAGAGAGAGAGAGAGAGAGAGAGAGAGAGAGAGAGAGAGAGAGAGAGAGAGAGAGAGAGAGAGAGAGAGAGAGAGGGGAGGGGAGGGGGAGGCAGCCAGACAGACACAGACATAAAAGAAATAAATTACGAGAGAGAGAGAGAGAGAGAGAGAGAGAGAGAGAGAGAGAGAGAGAGAGAGAGAGAGAGAGAGAGAGAGAGAGAGAGAGAGAGAGAGAGAGAGAGAGAGAAGGAACGGAAAGAAAGGGAGGGAGGAAATAGAAAAAGAAAGAAAGGAAGAAAAGGACATTTAAATAAAATACGAATATAGAGGAGAGAGAGAGAGAGAGAAGGAGTGTGTGTGTGAGAAAGAGAGAGATAGAGAAAGAGAAAGAGAGAGCAGAGAGCAGAGAGAAGAGAGAAGAGAGAAGAGAGAAGAGAGAAGAGAGAAGAGAGAAGAGAGAAGAGAGAAGAGAGAAGAGAGAAGAGAGAAGAGAGAAGAGAGAAGAGAGAAGAGAGAAGAGAGAAGAGAGAAGAGAGAAGAGAGAAGAGAGAAAAGAGAAGAGAGAGAGATAAAGTAAAGATAATGGAGAAAGGCCATGCCGCAGGGCCCCCAGGGTGCCACAGGGAGACACCTTGACGTCTACCAAAATGGACAGTGACAAGAGGAGGAGGAGAGAGAGAGAAAGAAAAGGGGAGTGAGAAGGAGAAAAGGAGATGAAGGGGGAAAGGGATGAAGAGGAAAGGAGGAAAAGTGAGAGGAGAAGGAAGAAGAAATAAGAAAAGGAAGTGAGGGAGAAGCAGAAGAGGTAAGGAGGGACAAGGAAAAAGATAAAACAAAGGGAGGAGAGGGAGAAGAAGAAGGAAAAAAAGAAAAGAAAAGGAGATAGGGGAGAAGCAGAAGGAGAATAGATAGAAAAAGATAAGAAAAATAGGAGAAAGCGAGGGAGAATTAGAAGAGGAAGTGAAAGAAGGAAGAAAGAAAATACAAAAAAGTAAAAAAAAAAAGAAAGAAAGATCCAACGAAACGAAAGGAAAAAAGAACAAGAACAAAAACACGGGAAAGAAAAAAAAACAAAACAAAAAACGAAGAACAGATGGACGTTCCCAAAATCCCGAACCCAATAACATCGAGGAAAAAAGTCCCTCAGTGACTCCAGGATCCCCCCCCCTCCCCCCCAACGAAAAACAAGCCCGAGGAGAGAAAGGCACCTCGGGTCGCGCTCCACAGAGGTCCCTCGTTTCTCACTCCGGGCAAGGGACGGAGCCCTTATTTGGGTCCCATTAATTGCCTCTTCAGCGCATAAGGGACTGTCTTCCCTCCCCACTCCCCCTCCCTCTCTCCCGCCCGTCCCCCACTCTCCCTCTGCCTTTCTCCCTCCCCACTCCCACTCCCTCTCCCTCCCCACTCCCTCTCTATCTCCCCTCCCCCACTCCCCCTCCCTCTCCCTCTCTATCTCCCCTCCCCCACTCCCCCTCCCTCTCCCTCTCTCCCTCCCCACTCCCTCTCCCTCTGTCCCTCCCAACTCCCTCCCCCTCCCCTTTCCCCCTCCCTTCCCCAATTCTCTCTCTC